ACTCGATCCCAGGACCCTGGGATCATGACCTGAGCCGAAGGCAGTCGCTTAACCAACTGAGCCACCCAGGCGCCCAAAATCACCAGCTTCTTAATGCATGAGATTCACAGCTCTAAATACAACTTCTGATTCACTTGTTTTACTCAAAATTCTACTCATGAAAATGATTCACCATCACCCCTCTTCTTTTTCAGCCAGAAATTTTAAACCAGTCATAAAAAGCAATCCACATTTCTGATCAATACTAACATGAGAATTCCATGGGCTCTCTCCAAGAGTTTGCTGCTAGCTGAATTAGCAAATATCCCGTCTTTATCAAGCAAAGAGGTGCTACTTGATAGTCTGCTCTGACGAATCCCAGTTCTGCCATTCCATGCAATATCAAATGTATCTCTGCAAAAATCAAATACAGTACAATTTGCTTTAGTTAACTGAGACATATCTAACAATCTCCAAATTGTTTAAATAAGGAAAAAAGCTAAACCAGCAGAAAATTATATTATCACAGAGATTACCAATCAATTTGAACTAATCTTTTCCTCGTTCAGAACGAAGAATTTCTATGGAGTCTGGTACATTCAAATACCAATGTGCACATATAATACAGCCACTATCTTTTTTTTTTTTAAGATTTTATTTATTTATTTGACAGAGAGAGACACAGCTAGAGAGGGACACAAGCAGGGGGAGTGGGAGAGGGAGAAGCAGGCTTCCCGTGGAGTAGGGAGCCTGATGCGGGGCTTGATCCCAGGACCCTGAGATCATGACCCGAGCCGAAGGCAGATGCTTAATGACTGAGCCACCCAGGCGCCCCTAATACAGCTAATATCTTTAAATCTATTAAATTATTTACAATCAGTAAATAATATAAAAGGTATTACATGTAATGTGATTTTTTTTGTCTTTGTTAGATATTAGAACTTCCAAATACTACTGAAGGAATTTACAATCCTAATAGGCTACCCCATTCTATGGAATATTTAATTTCTTCCTGGAAGGTCACACACTCACTACGTACGACGTATCCACCAAAGTTACTAAGCATCTTCTATGAGCTGAGCACTATTCTAGCCACTGGAGATAGAGGAGTGAACAAAACAGATAAAATTATCAGTGATTAAAATATGAAGAATTAATAGGGGGCTTTCCAGGTACAGATAACAAATTGGCCACATATTTGGATTCCTCCAGAGACCTGTGAAAATTTAATAAAATAATTTTTAAGGGAATAAACAAAGAAAATATACTGAGAAAATAGTAACAGTTTTGAAATATGGAAAGCAGATGAATATAGAAACAACTTTTTTTTTTTTAAAGATTTTATTTATTTGTCAGAGAGAGAGAGAGAGCACAAGCAGAGGGAGAAGCAGGCTTCCTGTCGAGCAAGGAGCCTGATATGGGACCCATTCCCAGGACCCTGGGATCATGACCTGAGCTGAAGGCAGACCCTTAACCAACTGAGCCACCCAGCTGTCCCTATAGAAAGCAATCTTAAACTGGCTGTGGAAAAAGACTGAGAAGTATCCATATTTACAAAACTCCCAAAGGCTCCAGAGCTGGTGGTACCATGTACCTATGGAAGTGGTGGAAAAGATGGGTTAAGAACAAGAGCACTAAGTTGAAAGTCAGTTTAAAAGCAGTTAGAACTCCATGCAGCCTGATGACCATCCCTCCTTTATCTAAGCAAGAGGATGAAAGAGAAAGTCCATGGACTAGACAGCACCAGGCACAAATGGGGATGGGTATACTTTACAAAAGTCAAAGAAAATACTGAAAATATGGCAGCTGGGACTATATCCTCCAAGAAGAAAATTAAACTTTTGTGTGGAATTTGACCAGCCCAAGAGGAAAGACCCAAAGATATACTGATATGTTCTAGACACTGACAACACACCCAATTAAACAGATTCCAATTAGCTTTTTAGTGTTTCAATATGAATATGAACAGTTGACCAAGGTTCACTAGACATCTGAGGAAAGCCCCTAGCATGAAACAGAGACCAAAACAATCATGACATAAACAACTTGGAAGTAAAAAAAGATTTTTAAAGCTATCAGTAATATTTTTAGAGAAGAGAGAAAATATTGCATCTACAGAGTAAGATATTACGAAAAATTTCAAAATTGAGAAAACAAAGTAATGAAAAGCTCCTAAACATTAAAAATGTAACACCAATGAAAATGCAGAATATATCCACTCATTCAAAAATATTTACTGAGCACCAACTAGTACCAATTTTTTTCTATCATCTTCACATTACTTAAATTCAAATGGAAGAAAACAAACAATAAACGCATAAGAAATACATTGTATGTTGGATAATAGGTGCTAAGGAGAAATTTTAAACTTACAAGAAGAAGAATGCCAGGATGCTAGACTTTAATAGGGACGTCAGGAGAGGCCCCATGAATAAGACTCCATTTAAACAGAGATGTGAAGGAGATAAAAAAAGCAAATCAAGCAGTTATCTGGAAAAAGAGCATTCTATTCAGAAAGAAGAGCAAACATAGAGCGGGAGGCAAGAATTTTGTTGATGAATATGAGATATATTAAATAAATCAGCAAGACTGGAGTGGAATAAACAGGAAAAATGGTAGACCAAGTCAGAGAGGGAGAAGGAAGCCATGTTACATATACCTTCTAGGAAATGTAAGAATTTTTGGCTTTCATTTTTTTAAGATTTTATTTATTTACTTGAGAGAGAGTGCATGAGAGAGAACATAAGCAGGGGTGGGGGGGGAGCAGAGGGAGAGAGAGAAGCAGGCTCCCTGCTGAGCAAGGAGCCCATCACACCTGACACTGGGCTCCATCCCAGGACCCCCAGGATCATGACCTGAGCCAAAGGCAGACACCTAACCCACTGAGCCACCCAGGCACCCCAGAATCTTTGGCTTTTAATGGGAATGAGAAAAAATGACAAAGAAGGACTTTCAGGAAAACGCTAACATGATTCAGCTTTTTAATACTAAAATGCATTTTATATTATACATATTTATATATGACATTATATTAAAATAATGATCTGGTTGCTGTATTGAAAACTGTTTGGGGGGCCAAGGATAAAAGGGAGATTATTTTAGGAGGCTATTACAGTAATCCATACCAGGGCAACAGCAGTGGAAGGAATAAGAAATGGTGAGATTCTGGGTATCATTTTACAGTACAGCCAATGTAACTTGCTGATGGACCAAATGGGGAATGTATGAGAAAGCAGAAATTAAGGATGACTTCGAGATTTTTCACTAATAACAGATTTAAAGATGAGGAAGTAGGAGAGATTATTTCTTATAAATCAAAACAAAACAAGATGAAAAGTCATAATAAAATAGTTCAAGTAGACTCAAGACCCAACAAAAGAGTTTCTAGACAGATCCTACAAGATTCTGGTACTTAAGTATAGAGGAGAGATGTCACATACAAGGGCTCAAGAATCAGAAAAAGGGCATCTATAAAAAAAACCCAAACAATACATAATGCTTAATGACTAAAAATAAACTGTAAGATTTCCCACTAATATCAGGAATAAGACAAGGATGTGAGCTCTGGCCACTCTTATTCAACTCTACTGAAATTTCTACTGAAATTTTCAAGTAAGAAAAAAAAAAAAAGATATCCAAATTGGAAAGAAAGAAGTAAATTTATACTTAGTCACATAAGACATGATCTTACATGGAATACTCAAAGGAATCCACTAAACAACTATTAGAACCAATCAATTAAGCAAGGTTTAAAAATTCAATTATATTTCTATATAATAGCAATGAACAATTGATTATAAAAGCAAAAAACTCACTCAAAACAGCATGAAAATAATATTAATAATATTATTAATATAATAATAATACCAATCTCCTGGTTCACCTATTATTATATCTCTGGGATATGTACTTAGTAGTGGAACTGTTAGTTCAGTAGGAGTTTTATAAGATAATCCCAAATTGCTTTTCAAGGTAGTTGTACTAATGTACACAAACAGTGGCAATTGAAAGTTCCCTTTGCTTCATTCCTTGCCAGCACAACTGATTGTCAGACTTCTTAACTTTTGGTAATCTGGTGGTTATGAAATAGTATCTCATAATTTGCTTTTCCGTGCTTATTAAGGATGCTGAACAGTTTTTATATATTTTATGGCCATTCATGTATTTTGAAATGCTATTTGCCCATATCTCTTTTTTAAAAAGTATTCTTTATAAATTTTATGTACTGATTCCATTTCAGTTATATGTTCTGTATCCTGATTGTGGCATTAGTTACACAAATGTATAGATGGGGTACAATTGCAAAAATCTATATAGAGACACACCTGCAGATTTCTAAAAATGGTGAAAACTGTAGTCTAGTTAATATTAATGTGCTAATGTAAATTTCCTGCTTTTGATAATATACTATCATTATCACTATATAAGATGTCACTTAGGGAAGCTAAGTGAAGAGTAGGTACATGGGACTCTATGAACTATTTTTTCCTTTGTACTACTTTTGAAACTTCCTGCTTTTGAAAAATGGAATGTAACCTTAAAATATTTTTCCATTAGTTCTTTTTAAACTATGCTTTTTGGATAGCTGGGACAATATCTTTAAAATTTTATAGTAACTTCCTTCTGTCTTTCTGGTCAAGCTTTTAATTAAAAAGGACAGAAGATAATAATCAAACATGCAAAAATTTAATTACAAAAATTTTCATCAATATAAAAAAACCTAAGTAACCAGTAACTGGAAACAGGTGAAATAAATTATGTTACAACCACCCAATGGAAGTCTATGAGGTCATTAAAAATCATGTTGTAGAGGCACCTGGATGGCTCAGTCAGTTGAGCACTGACTCTTTGATTTCAGCTCAGGGTCATGAGATCGAGTCCATGTCGGTGCGGGTGGGGGGGTCTCCATGCTCACGGGGGAGTCAGCTTGAGATTCTTTCCCTCTGCCCTTCTCCCTGCTCTCTCTAAATAAATAAATAAATCTTTAAAAAAAAATCATGTTGTAGAATAATATTTAATGGCATAAAAAGATGTTAGCATATATTATTAAATTTAAATACAATACTGTTTGATAACAGTTTTAAGACAATTACATTTTTATACTTGGAAAGAAGAATATATGCCCCCCCAAAAAAATTTTTCATAGCAAAGGAAACATTTATTCAAAGAAGATATATGAATCACCAATGAAGATATACAAATGATCAATAAGCACATGAAAAGATGCTCAACATTTGTAGGCATTAGAGAAATCCATTATCAAAACCACAATGAGATACTACTTCACACCCATCACTAACACCACTAAAATTAAAAGGACAGTCAATAACAGATATTGGCAAAAGAGAAAATGGAACACTTATCTATTACCAGTGGCAATGTAAAACGTCACAGCCACTTTGAAAAAAAGTTTGGCAATTTCTCAAAATGTTAAACAAAACACAGAGATTTGACCCAGAAATTTCATTCCTAAGTACATACTCAAAATAATGGAAAACATATATCCACACAAACACTTGTACATGAATGTTCAGAGCAGCATTATTCTTAATAGCCAAAAGGGGAAGGGCACCTGGGTGGCTCAGATGGTTAAGCATCTGCCTTCAGCTCAGGTCATGATCCCAGGGTCCTGGGATCGAGTCCCACATCAGGCTCCCTGCTCCTTGGGAGCCTGCTTCTCCCTCTGCCTCTCTCTCTCTGTCTCTCATGAATAAATAAATAAAATCTTAAAAAAAAAAAATAGCCAAAAGGGGAAAGCCTGAGTGTTTGTCAACTGATTAATTTATAAACAAAATAACCATACAATGGAATGTTCTGCCATAAAAAGGAATGAAATACTGGTACATGCTACAATGTGGATGATCCCTGAATACATCATGCTAAGTGAAAAAAGTATCACACAAAAGGCCACATATTGTAAGATTCTATTTAAACTGAATTTCCAGAATAGGCACATCTGTAGAGACCAAAAGTATATTAGTATTTCCCTACAATTAGCAAGAATATGAGGAATGGAGAGAAACTAGTGAGTAGGAAGTTTCTTTTTGGAGTGATTAAAATGCTCTAACTTAGATTTTGGGATGATTAAGCTAACTCTTGAATACACCAAACCCCACTAAATTATGTATTTTAAATGAATGAAACTATGTGGTATGTAAATTATATCTCAATAAAGCTATTTAAAAATAGGACTCAGAAATCAGCAAGTTAGAACTAAAACGCAATGTAGCAATGTCTTCAAATTTCTGAAGAAAAATTATTTCTAACCAAGGGTTCTATACACAGGCAAATTACCAATCAAGTGTGAGGTCAGAATAAAAGCATGTTTAGTTAAGGAGGAACCAAAATATTTTCCTCTCATACATATTTTCACATGGAGCTACTAGAGGATATGCTCCATAAAAGTTTACAAAGTAGACATAAAAGAGGAAAAAATGTTAGAAAAAAGTTGATGCAAAAAGAATGACAAAAAGAATGCCCAATACAAAGGTAAAGGAAGATACCAATGTGACAAATCCAGATTAGTACAGATTAAAAAAAATGCCATGAGAGATTTGTAGGGGAAAATAAAACTGATTCATGATGCATCTGTTTAAGATCAGAGGAAATTCAGCCAACTGACAAACTCAGCCAACTGACAAATTTAGCTTGGGGTTGAAATGGTGATAAACATTAGAAAATTTTAGAGGAAAATCTGGCTGAATGATTTGGGACTAGGAAAGAATTTTTAAAATAAGCTGTAAAATGGACAAATCGAGAGAAAAAATATATTTAGCTACATTAAATTTAAGAATTTTTGTTCACCACAAGGCACCATTAAAGTAAAAAGATAAGCTACAAATTGGGAGAACACAGGGGCGCCTGAGTGGCTCAGTCGTTAAGCGTCTGCCTTCGGCTCAGGTCACGATCCC